ATTTATAACTTAACATCTCTGTCTCCTATTGATCTGAGTATATTATAAAGAATAGCAGTTCATTGAAGCATTATAGCACAGGCCTTTGTCAGATGGTATATTACGCTGTTTTTTTTTCTGCTTCGAATAGTTCTCTCTTTTTTCACCTACCTGTGTTTGCATCACTGTAACCAATGAGCACCTGCATGTGTGTGAGAATAGCCCTGACTCCATGTCAGCCCAGATTTACAAACTCCTGGCAGGACAAGCTCCAGCTCAATTCTCACACTGAATTTAAAAAAAGTGAGTGAGGGACTGCAATATAAGAGGGAAAGAAAGAGAAACTTTAAAACTGTTCAATTGTTATGATGTAAAGACTGATATTGTTCTATAATCGGCTGAAACTGTTAAGTCATGATGTGAAACGGTTAACAAAGAAAAAGGGACACTCAAGCTGCTGCTACACTTTATTTTATTTATCTAAAATGAAGCACTTTTAAGATGCACATATTTTCAAAAGCTATTTTATTTATTTTCTCTATTTTATTTGTAAATGCAGCCCGAGAGGAACATTACACATATCCACAGTATTTACTGTATATCTGTATAGTTCAATGTTAATTGACTATAAATAGTTGTTTTTGAATTGTACTTTCTTTATTTGATTGGCAGTCAGTTGTTGATTACATGCAGACGTTGATAAAGCTACAGCTACTTCAATATATATCACACTAATTCATAAAGCAACTTAGACATTTTGATGTTCCGGACCTTTGCATGGGGACATTTCCTCTAACTGGACCTCGTTGAATTTGAGTTGGAGACCCCTGCTGTATGTGGTCTGACATCAAATAGCAGGCTCAGTTTGCCTTAAAAACAAAACCTGATTGGAGTATGTATGGAAAAAAGAGGATGACACTAAAACAGACATGATTAAGTACAAACTGGTATTTTTTAAAACTCTTAGGTTAGCAATATGTTATTATATACACACACATTATATTACACTAAGTCAGCTACTTGTATGGTGTCTTTTGGGCAGCGAGGCTCCTCTTACGATTCCCTGATCAAGTAAACGTGAAAAGTGTTGTTTCTATAAGGGTATTTGCCATTGGCTAAAAAAACTATCACTTTTAGTTGAATTGACTGAGCAGAATGTCCTGATAGGGCTGCCCCCTGCTGTGTGGCTACAGTGCTGTCAATGTAAAACAAATTATGTTGCCTTCAGCTAATCAGGCACAGAAACATGGAAACATACCAAGGTAGATAAATACATGCACCGCCCGGGAATCGAACTCGGGTCACAAGAATGGGAATCTTGTATGATACCACTACACCAGCAGCGCTCTGTCTTACCCTGGCCTGTACTCAGACTGAAGCAAGGGAGGGGGCTTTATGTGTCAGTGGAGGAAAGGCACTCCAAAGGTGAGGTGGTAGGGACCGGAGTGCTCAGCAGGGGGATTGAGGCGGGGAGGGAGGACAAAGGCATTGAAAGCAGTGGGGGGGTGTTGAAGCCAGGCTGTGTGGTGGAGGTGACAGCTGAGGGCTGGGAGAGTCCCTGTTGTGCTGGAGGAGTTCAGCCTGGATGCAGATAAGCTAAAGCTAACAGTGTGTTCTTTTTGCTCTTCCAGAATTTGATTCAGGGTGTTTTTTTCCAGTTTAAGGTTATATTATTTGGCCCTGAAATAAAAGAGCCTCACAGAAACGTGTAGAAAGACTAGAAGCTAGTTTTTCAAAATGCCACTATCTTTGGACCTATTATATCACAACCTTTCCCTTTCTGTGTCGGAGCACTATCAACAATGAAACTAACACACACACACACACACACACACACACACACACACACACACACACACACACACACACACGCACACACGCACACACACACACACACACACACACACACACACACACACACACACACACACAAAAAACACATATTCTCCCACACCAAACCTTGTTGGTATGTTGGCCTTTTCACACTATAAGGATTTGATGAGATTGTGACACGCTAGCATTTAGCGGAGTTCTACCAGTTCCTGCTTAGCGCAGCCATTGGGAAAGGTCAATGCTAATGCTGGCTGGTTAGCTCATATGCCTCACTCGATTTCTGTTTCACTCGCTTTGCCTCTTCCTCCCTTGGGGCTTTCACACCAACGCGGTTCCAGGGCCGGTTCGGAGCCTGACAAGCACAGTTTTTTCCTGTTCACACCGCAGCGGAGCCGCCTCTAAGCTCCGGAATCCGGTTCGTTGCAAGCACCAAAAACATTTTGGTCTAGAAGCAAGAACCGCATACGTCACACTTACGTCGGAGGGGGGCGAGATTAACCTGAGCTAACAGTTATAGGCAAGTACGGCAAATAAAAGTTGTAACAAGCAGTAGTGCTGTGCAAAGTGACTAGAAGGCAACCACACACTTATAAAAAACACACTTTATAAAGTCAGGCAACACTAACCAGACTTCGTGTGATTCTGTTTATTTGTACGTTACTTTGACCATCCGTTCACTGTTATTGATCATTGTGGAGAGAGGCAGACGTTTAGTATTATAGCAGCTATCGGATGGAATCAATACATGGGCTGCACAGGTTGTCGTGTCCGACTATCACAAGTAGAACCATAATGAAAAATACGCCGGTAAAATGTGCCTGTAGAAAACGGCTTGTGCCACAATAGGATAGCAACAAGTAGTCAAGATAGTCAGTTTAGCTTCGGTTGCTATGCTAACATCACCCATTTTCTACCAGAGAAACTTTCATAACAGCGTTGTGAAGCCAAACAGCGTCAATTCAGACTGACACACATTCACTGATGGGGATGGGGGATATGTGTCAGCTGCTTGTGTGACAGTCAGACAGTGAATACTTTACAGCGGCCGCTGCCACGAGTTAACGGGAGAATAAACTCCGGTGGACGAGCAGCACTGCAGCGGTCGGTAAATGTAACACATCAATGAACCACGGCACTCTGGAGAAAAGTATATATGGAAAGTTTCTTGTTGTTCAGAGTTCTACACACTCACATTGAATGGGATTTCCAATAAAACCCTGCGTCCCACTATAGGGAAAAGGAGGTTATAAATTCCCCACTGGAGCATTGCTTTGGCTCCATAGTTTTGCTCAAGGACACTTCAGCAGAGCAGATGTGTGCTGACACAGAGGTTTGAACTCCGCTCATCCATGTAAAGGCGCTCACTAAAGCCCAAGTGTAATCAGGCATGTTTATTATTTTTGCAGATTCACGCTTTTTCTGTTTTGCTAAGGGTATTACGGGTGATTAGGCTTCAGCACGGCATTGCTGACAACTCACTGCTGCCTGGCCGCCTTGTTAGTGCATCCAGAAAGGTCACAGCTAATACACTGCAGTTAGCTTGGGCTGGATACTGTGGTACTGGATGTCCGGTCGCTGAATGAAAAGTCTCCTTGAACATAAAGTACGTTTTTTGTTATTTTTATCTAACAAGCCAAGTGTGCAGTTAACTGGCTAAAACCAAAAGAAAATGTTTTGTTCGCACACTTCCAGTTGAATATTTAATAATGCATAATACAAACATTTGCTTGATAGCCTAATCTTTTCCATGAAGAGTTTCTGGGTGCCATGCTAACCATTCATCTCTTGTTCAACCAGAATAACAGCCGTGTCCACATTAGGCGATTTCACTTAGAGAGAACCATTTCAAGAACAGGCAATTTGAGCCAAGTGCTTTACAAAGGCATACAATTATATTGAACATAGGATATGAGCCAAACATTATCTTTGCATTAACAGATCAAACAAATAAGCAGTTAAAAATTAGAAAGAAATTGATTTCATAAAAGCAATAAACATACTACTCGTTTTACAGTAGTGTTCGTCTGCTTTAAAATCACTGGAGATGATGCCATCGTGATGGAGTTTGTATATAGCCTTGACCAGCTCACCCTACAAAAATACGCCATCGCTGTACCACTCTATACGTCTTGTAACATATAAAACATATAGTTAACTAGGTTCAAATCTTGATTTTCATTGGAGGAGGTCTTTGAAGATTACGATATAAAGTGTCTACAGATTTATAATTGCATAAATACTTCGGCAGAATGTTGGGGTAGTTCTAACCTTAGGGCTGTATTTGATAATGTTTCTGAATAATGTTTCTGAACAGACATAAACACTGTGTTGGCCTCTCTGGCATAATTCTTTGTTGGTTCAGCTTCTACTTAATTAGCAGACAGTTCTTTTATCTATGATCAACCCCTGCTTAGATACAATAGATGCATCCTGTGGTGTCCCTCAGGGCTCGGACAAAGTGCAACATTATGCGGGAATATTGCCGGAGAGCATCTTTCATAATCAACTGAATAGCAACAAGAATATTAATTTGTATTTATGGATGGGCACTTGTAGCCATTTAGCTCTAACTCTGCTTCACGGCCCATGAACGTTCAGTTATCCAATCATGGTGCGCACAACATCGCCAATGAGCCGTAACATATGAGCCATCTCATTTTTGGAAGTGAATGTAAACAACATCTTCTAAGACAACAAATACATTATATTCAGTTACAATAATTATGTGATGAATGAGAAAAGCATCACTTTTCTCTTATATTTCAGTTTGGCTGGGGTAAAGTACAATTTAGTTTCATGGACATTATAAAGTCATTATAAAATAGACATATTAGGTTGTTGTATGAAAACAAAGAAAAGCATTATGGAACCAGGCAAGGTGGGGAATACTCCGTTAAAAAAACTGTTATCAAAGTGTCAGAAACATTTCACGCGCGCGTAGACAGACTCCGCGAGCAGTGGCGGAGCCATGACATTTTCAGTGGGGTGGCCAGGATGGGACCAGTGATCATTTTGGGGTGGCATTGAAATCACTATTATATGAACATAAAAATACATCTCACTATAAAATAAGGGGTTATTTAAGGCACCTACAACACACAACACACCTCTACATTATTTCGGATTAAGTGGTGGAATAGATCAAATAATATTCAGTAAATCTAACTATTTTTGTCTTCTTCTCGCAGGCAAAGTAACAACAAAGCTTACATTATACAAATGTAGTGCAATATACAGACTGTTTAGCTTATGGTGATCAGCAGCACTATGAGCTCATTCTCTCAGTGACAGAGACACATAATTTAAACAAGAGTTTTTTTAATTAAATTATTGGTTAAGACATACATCTTACTTTTTCATGAACATTAAGTGCAAGAGGGTCGCAACTTTAACAATTAAGGCATTTAATTTACATTTTACATACAAGACATTTATAGAAACAGTGGAATACCCTGGATGTGATTCACTTGTTTCACTTAAATTACCATAACAGTCCTGAACACAGCCAAATAAGTAAAACAGGCAGAGGTCTGCATTGCAGGTACACACACTTAAGTGTTATAACTGATAATTGAGAGGGGGGGAATGTTTAAGTATAAACATTGTGCCTTAAAATCTAGCATTATATTGTACACAAGTATCCCTAAAAACAAGTAGTCTAAGTAGTCAACAAATGAACCCTTCTGAACACTGGCTCTTGGCAGCGATTTTACTGAACAGCGTACACCGTTTGCTAATTTGAACATCACGTTCCCTTATAACATCGTAAATGAGCTTGTAAAATATTTGTGTTGAATCAACATTGACACAGTAACACATATTGTAACAACTGTTTTCTGTTTCTGTCAACATGCCTTTTTCTGTCATACTCAGTCCAGGCACATAGGAACTGATCATAATACAGAGTATTATATGACAGTCATGTCCTGCAAGATGCTGTAACCTTGGTTAATTTGGTTTTTAATAAGACAGACATTTCAAATGTCAAGGGAGTTTCTAAAAAGATTAACAACGGTTCTGTCACGTTAGCAACGACAGTGTGAAAGTAAGCCAGCATGAAGAATACCATCAACATAACACTAAAGCAGCTGTGAAAAAAATCTTGAATCTTTAAAGTTTGTACTTATAAATGTGGGATTTTGATTGTTTTTCCTTGCTAAAATAAACTAGCACCTTTTTAAGAAAAAATGATGTGCCATAATTTTCCATTACCACACATCCTTGTGTGACCTTAAATAATTATTTATGTGAGTACAATCACTCCCATTTAACTGAGGGAAGAAATAATTAACTCAATGCACTTGTAAATGAACATTAAGTGCAAGAGGGTCTAACATTAACAATTAAGGCATTTAATTTACATTTGACATATAAGACATTTATAGAAACAGTGGAATACCCTGGATGTGATTCACTTGTTGTTTCACTTAAATTAATATATCGATGGAGACAGACCGGAGACTTTGGAGAGTTGAATCAGTGGTCATTTTGTGACACCTGAACAGCCACTGCTCCTTCTCCTCACATTCAGCTTACAACAGCTGTATTCTGCAATTGTTGTGGTTTGCAGCAAAGCGATTCACAAATTCCTCTAAGTCCTAGGGACTTCTCGTCTGGACTCCACACTTAAAACCCCCAGATTGCTCAGTCTATCATCATCCATGGTAGATCTCAAGTATGTCTTTACCAGCTTGAGTGTAGAAAAGCTGCGTTCACAGGAAGCAGTACTCACAGGTATGGCAATGGCAATTTTGCACAAGCGGAAGAGCTCATGGAATACCTCTTTAAAGGGTTCAATGATTTTTGTGAGCTTTACTATGCTAGAGGGCTTCTGCATGCCAGATGTTACTTTCCTCTCTAGGATTCTTTTCATTTGGTTTACCTCATGTCCGAGGTCATCTATGTTGCATTCATAAATAGAAGCAAATGCAAATATAGCCTGCTCTTCGCAAAATGTAACGCTTGAAGGATTCAAGGCTTGGATCCCCATCATTATTTCACAATTTGGTTTTGAGAATCGTCTATTTAGCTCACCGAGCATGTTATCAAGCACAGGGTAGAATATGCTAGCACAAAAAGTGTCCTTGGTCTGCTCAGAACGCGCACCTACTGAGGACATGACAGTATGTCCATCTAGCATTCTGCTCTGTTTTGTCTTTCTTTTTGGAATAGGGTCCGTCTCAACATTGCATTTTGCACTTGTATTTAAGACTTCTTTCCAGAGTCCTTCAAAGTAGGTTTCATCCCTGTAGTCTTGAAAACGTTTCACGAGGGCTTCAACTAGATCCACAGCTGAACACAAATCAAGAGTGGGAGACTGTAGAAGGTCAGAGAGATATCTTGCATCTCCAAAAACATTAGTGCATGTCACTAAAAGGCCAATAAACTGCAGGTCAATTTGAGCGAGCAGGCCACGTGCATCAATACTTCTATCTCTGCTGTGTTCTGCAGCTATTTCCTCAAGGACACGAATAATAGCAGGTAGTCTATCTAAGACGGTACGGCAAGCTATATGCCGGCAAGCCCACCTTGTTTCACTCAACCGTTGAAGCTCTTTCGGAGCTCCGGCATACATTTATTTCTGAATGTTAAGCCACCTCGTGTGAACATAAGAGCCAGACACAAAGACATAAAGTCTTTGCAAAAACGCAAAAAAGCATTCAGCTTGTGGGACTGCTTTAACTGTGTCAACTAGAACCAGATTAAGGCTATGTGCATTACAATGGACATAAAACGCCTGCTTTGCCACCTCCTTAATTCGAGCTTGAACGCCGGAGTGCTTGCCACTCATGACAGAAGCACCGTCGTATGCTTGCCCAACCAGGTTACTTTTGTACTCCAGGCCATATCTCTCAAGGACCTGGATTATTTTTTCTGTCAGTCCTGCAGCATCAAGGCGGTCTGCAGGCTCAAAGTGCAAGAAGCTCTCTTTTACAGCTCCTTTATAATAATATCTCAGCACTAAAGAGATCTGTTCCTTTTTTTTTGTATCTTTAGTTTCATCTCCTTTAGGGAAAATACCTCACTTTCCTTGACCTCGTTAATGATGGAGGAGCGTACCATTTCAGCTAATGTATCCAAAATCTCATTCTAAATTTGGTGGCTAGTGTATTTTGCATTGCGAGGCCCTGTGAGTTTATTTTTGATAACTGTGTCATGGTTAGCAATCACATCTAATATAGCCAAGAAGTTTCCCCTGTTGTCTGCATCTCTTGTCTCCCTATGACCCCTTTGTGAAATGTTTTGGGTTGCTGTTAACAGTAAAACTTCCGCTACACTTTTTATATAAGTACGATTTTCTTGTATCTGCTAACTATGTTCTTTAGTCAGGGTACTCATTAAAGATGAATTCACTTTGTCTCCTCTCTCATATTCCTTCCAAGCCACCATTGCATTTGTGTGAGCCTCTCCCTTTACATGTTTAGTGAACCCTCCATCTCTGAATGTTGCCTTTTTCCAGTTCTTAAATCCCAAGGCTGAAGTAAACACTGAATCTGTGTTTGGGAGGCCAAAATGCCTGCATGCAAAACAGTGTGCAGAGTCCTGGATCTGAGAATACTCTAGCCATGAGTGAACATTGTACCACGAGGCTTGAAAGTTTCTTCGTCTGTCGCCCTGGAGTGTCCTGGGAAAGAGTTTCGGGTGTGGCTGGACTGGTTGATCGGCTCTTGATTTGGAAATGTCTGATTAAAAAAAAAAAGCAACTTCATCAGACCTATCCATTAATTATCAGGCTGCATTAAAACATTGCCATTGTATCAGATTGGACAAAACTAAAGTACAATTCAAATATTCAGTATTTGTGAAAGAGTCTGTATACCTGGAGGTCCACTTGGGCCACTGGTACGTGGGGGCTCATCTCTCTCGCTCTCTGAATCTGTATGCGGTGCTTGTACAGGTCTTTTGGAAACATCTAAAAATAAAAAGCATCAGATTTGAAGGTGATTAAATCATTTTCCAACAGGTTATATAATGACAATTCTACAGTATTTGAGTTGGGGTCTTTGCAAAAACAACTATAAAAGAATATGTGTCAGACTTTAAGGTGGTGAAACTATTTACTTAAAGCTTTTAAAATGCATTTTCAACATGATGTGAATATAGATAGAACACACTAGTGGACAATATCAATGAAGGTAACACTGTAGCCAGGTGTATGATGGAGAGTCTGTATACCTGGAGGTCCACTTGGGCCAGGTCTCCCTGGCGACTCCTCTCCCTCGCTCTCTCTGTCTGTCCTTTCTCCATCTGACCCTGTCTTTCATTCTCCTGTGCCTCAGCTGGTTTCTTCTTATTGAAGAAGGTTGCTATGTCTGCTCTTTTTCTCTTCATTATGATTTTCTGACTCAATACGCAAAATGCAGAATATATCAATCTTACCACCATCATTATAACAAGTCCTAGCACTAGCAAAGGTGACTCAATAAATGCGTTTATGCAGTTGCATGCTCAATTTATCAAGCCATGTCTAAAAAAGTAAATAATATTTTGATTATTTAGCTATTATAATCGAGTTATAGCAATAGGTTAAATTCACAGCAAATAACTGTATCCTCTAACAGAGATTCAAAAAATATTCAAAGGCTAATGTGAGTTTAGTTGATAAGACACGTTTGTGTACCATCTCATGCTACATGCTACATGAGTAAGCTACTTACTACTAATGGTAAATAACTGTATCCTTTAGCAGAGCTTATCATTTGTTTACCTTTGTTGGCCTCTGATATTAATATTATAGCTTACCTGTGGTTAACTTGCCAGCCGAAAATGGCATGCGCGCCTTGAGAACGGCACTCGTTGTCCTGGAGCAGTAATGGCGCGTTTCCACTGCAGGCCTCGCTCGGCCTCGCTCGGTTTGGTTAGGCCTTATTAGGCCCGGCTCACTTTAATGCTGCGCTTCGATTACAGTTTAGGAACTGGGGTAGTTACTATAGTAACGCAGTGTAGGCGGAGCCGTAACATCATCTTCAATGAGAGCCCCAGAAAAACAACACAGCCGTTAGCTCTTAGCACTCAGAGCTCACAGCTCTTCATATCTGTTCAGAAACTAGACAAAAGTTAAACAAGTACAAACCACAGACTGTCTGTGTCATGGTGAATACAGTCGCTGGTTTATTTATGTCTGTATAGGCCGTTGTTGTGAGTGTGGACGGTCGGAGCAAATATAACGTTAGCTTAGCCAAGCTCCATTTAGAAA